CACACACACACACACACACACACACACACACACACACACACACACGTTGAACTGAAACACTGCATAACCATTCGAAGTTCGGAAGAAAATAGTCATGTGTTGACATTCTTATACAATATACACTGTACACACTGAGGACGAGTGAGAGCATGATTAGTCTCGTCCCCTCTGAATATGAAAGCACTAAATTACAAGTTTCATTCCTGTGCAGTGCAAAATAAGTCGTTTTGTTTTTTTTAAGACATTCCTCTGAAGATACGACATTCAGTTTCCCTCCATACGTATAGGTTTGAATGAAGCTCATCTAAGGTTAGCTGTGATTCTTTTGTGTTTTAACTTGCACAACAGGAACAGTGTGGGAAGGCTTTTCTGTAGGCACGACCACGGATATAGGTCCTCATCCTCCTTTCTCTCTCTCTCTCACACACTCACACACACACACACACACACACACACACACACACACGTTAAATGTCCCTTTTCAACTCTCTCCGAGCCTCCACGGTCCAAAGTGGGGAACATAAAACAGACGACAAGCACGTAAAAAACGAGTATTTTTGAGTCTTAACTCAGACTCTGCATTGCATGGCTCACTCAACAAATAAGCGTGTGAAGGGAGCCATCTTAGCCTTTTTCTTTGCTCGTTTACTTTTTTTTTTTTTTTTTGCTGCCCATCAGTGTCAGACATCGTGACAGTGAGGGCTGAATGACCGACTAGCTGGTGTTGACTTTGAGGGTCTTCATGCGGTGCAGCAACGAGTCCTTCTCCATCTGAGCCTCGGCCAGCGCCATCTTGGTTCGGGACAGCTCCACTTTTAAACATTCGTTTTCCTCCACCAGCATCTGGAAACAAACAGGGAGGCGTCACTCGGTGTTTGATGGAAATCCTTTTAACATAATGTTCACTGTTCTGGATATTTCAAGGAGCTTTCAGCCTCATCTTGAAGCCTTCATCATCAGATGTAGACTTCCTAACTCCTCCCACAGTTAGGGGCCACAGGATGACTCATGTTGAAAGCAAATGAGCAAAAAAACCTGAGCTTTGTTGCTTCGATCAGACGAGCGTTATTTATCTGTTCACTTTGAATATTCCGTTTGAAAATATAATACTTGTATGCTGCATGAATGAGTGAATATCACTCCCACTGCAAACAGAAAGAAAGCCAAGCATTGAACTGGAATAATTAGGCAAAACCAACATTTGGCACTTCATCTCTTTTATATCGGCCTCCAGTTTTTTGTTCAGCAGTTTTGCGTTTGTAGAAAAACTGAAATGTGTGGCTGAATGCGATTCGCTGAAATCATCACCTTTAAAAGATTATAAATAAAATGTTATAAGCTGCATTTTGTGCCTGTATACTTCTACGTCTCATATCCCCCCACAGTGTGCGTCTCACCGTTTCTCTGGTGGACGGAGGAGGGCTGGTGGGCGGGGCTTGGGTCTGTGTAGCCTTTGGTATGCCGAAGACGCCGCCCACAACCTCCAGGACCGGAGTCAGAGCGCTGTCGGTCGACGCACCCTCTTCCCTGGATTTGGTCTCTGCCGCCGTGTCCACTGTGAGGACGAGGAGAGACGACAGAGGGGAGTTTAGGAGGTGTGGATGTACGGCGAGCGGACGGGTTATGCAACGGCGGTGAATCAGCAACTGAAGTGGAGGTGGAAATTATCTGGCAGATGAAAATGTGTGTTTCTCACCTCCTATCGAGAAGGAGCCGTCGTCTCTCCTGTGTATGACGAGGCTGTCCACATGCAGGGTGATGGGCGAGGGCTCCGAGTCGGTGGTGTTGTCGCGGGGGCCGTCGTCCTGCAGCAGAGACGGCACATGTTGAGTGTGCTAGGAGACGTTTTGACGTGTGTGAGCATGCGTGTGTGTGTGTGTGTGGGGGGTGGGAGGAGGGTGGTGAGAGAGAAATTATCCACATCCAAGTTTCCACATCAGTTCCACAGCACATCTACTCACCCGTGAAGGGACCCAAGAGAGGCGGCAAAAAGGCCTTTCTATGTCATTAAACATTCAGTTCAAATCCAAATTCCAATTAGGCCACGGTTCAAAATATTTAACTTGGTTATAGAAGCTGCTGCACTGTGTGGCACTGAGTTATGGGGTCTATTACTGCAACACAGCACAAATATCCTGCTGAAATCATGCAGGTATACTGTAGTCGTGCAACAATAACCTCGGGGGGGAAACATCAGCTTCTGAACTCTGAATCCAAGGAGCCGGACTAACACCACGCTGCTAAACGCCGGGGATTCTCACCTTTAGGTTGACGTGCGTGTCCCTGACGCTGATCTCCATGGGCAGCACCAGCGGCGCGGAGTCGTCCTCCAGGAAGTGAGCCAGGTTACGCAGCGTGGACATCAAGAAGCTGGCTCGGTAGCCGCAGAGACGCAGCTGCAGGAAGCCGTTGCGCTCGGCCAGCGGCGAGTGAGCGGCGGCGCACGGGCCGCTCTCGAGGCGAGCCCGCACCTCTGGGCTGTGGAGGCCGCCGGCCGATGCGGAGCCGACGTCGCCACCGGCTGTGAGGGAAGAGACGGAGGCTGCAGTTAGAAGGAAGTAGAATATCAGAAAGAGGAGTGGGAGAGAAAGTTGGGGACACAGAAAAGCAAAGTGAGCTGAAAAAAAAAGAGAAACAGAAAGGAATAAAAAAAAAAAAAAAAAAAAAAAAAAAAAAGGTGGGCTGAAGGAGAGTTAAGATTTTGTACAATCCCACGGGCTCCTCGCTGCAGTGATGTTTAATTATTTCCGAGGACAAGGGATTAGAGGATTCGCTGGAAACTCCCTCCTAAGTACTGAGGATTCAAAGAGAATCGTGTTTTTTCTGCCTTTTCATGAATAAGACACTCTACAGATGCTGAAAACTGTGGAAGGCTTGACGGCGAACAACTATATAAAGAATGACTCTCAGGACCACAAAGTGCGATGATACAATTCCTGCTTAATGAGAACAAGAAAAAAAGAGGAGAAAGTGAGGACAGATAGAAAGAAGAGAAACAGAAATTGATAAAAGTTGAGGTTGAGAGGCGGTAAATCTGAGGGGGGGGGGGGTAATTAAAACCCTCATTTCACACAAACTTTACACACAAATTGAGCCGGCAAGCGCACAATTACAGGCACAAGTTTTTAAACAGGCGAAACACTCAGCAAGGCATGAAAATGGCCACTTAGAGAGAGAAATCTTCTCATTATGACTGTGAGAAGTGCGTCACATCCCTTTAATGTGCACTCTGAAGGAAGAGGATTAATACCACAGAGCAATTTCACAACCACACACACAATGCTGACAGCTTTTCTAAGACAAAATGACATATTCTCTCTCCATCCTGGGTAAGAAAGAGAGAGAGAGAGTGAAAATGGAGGGAGGGAGCCAGCAGCCAGGGACTGAGTGACTGTGATAAGACAGGAGGAAGAAAAAAGATGGCCTAGAGAGGGAGGGAGATGAAGGGAAGAAAAGGTGAAGAGGGAGGGGGGGGTTAAATGACAGAGGATTAGTAGGAAGATGGAGTAGGAGCTGGAGGGAAGAGTGAGGAGGAAAGGTGGAGGAAAAAGAGAAAGAAAACGAGGGAGGAGGAGGGATTGCTCTTGTGAGATAGGAGGAGGAAGAGGAGGAGGAGAGGTAGCGAGGAGGAAAGCCGGCGTTTCTCTCATTGCCTGAATCACTGGACTGAAACTGCAAAGTCTGCTGCAGTGGAGAGAGGAGGAGGGAGGGGGGGAGGAAGGAGAGAGGACGAATTAGACAGAGCAGTGAATGGGAAGATCAGGGGTTAACGCCAGTCTGCACAAATGGTTGCACTTCATTTGAATGTGGCTGACACACAGACACCCACACCCACACCCACACCCACACACACACACTTAAGGCCTAATGTGGCAAATAATGGGTCCACTCACTCGATTGCTCAGAAATTTAACCTCTATTAAGTACCACACACACACACACACA